TGTGGAGCCTGTGGTTACAAATGGGGCATCCAATTGCAGCGCTGTCTGGGCACGGGCTCTCCATTTTATTCAACATTCGTAGGCTCTAATGATGCATAATGTTAGTGATTTCAAAAGCCTCAATAAACAAAACATTACAGTTTAATCAACGGGATCAACGTGAGTTTTCTTTGAATTTAGTGCCAATAGCGTGAATGACAGCTCCATTTCTCACTCAGGGGCCTACTGTACTTGAAAGCAAGTCTTTGTGAGTCCACTATTCATTATTGTCAGGTTCGATGTTTTGGTGCCTGTGAAACTGTAAAAGCAGGTCAACAAACAGACAGGAGCTGCAGTTCTCATTCTCTCCAACCTTTCTGACTGAGTGCACTTGTTACAGTCACCTTCACCTACAGTACAGAGCCGGTGAATGGGCATCTGTTGGCCGCCGACACACCGACAGCTCAGTGCAGTGTTTGAAGCGAAACAGCATCCCTGATTGGGTGCTAAGAGCATTTTTAGGGAGGTTGTTGTTGTTGTTGTTATCCAAGGCCGGCGGCAGGCGGAACCAGCGTCAGAGAGACGCACTGAGGGCCGGGATTCACACAGATGCCTCATTAATGTGTGATCAAGCAGAGAGACAGAGGACGTCTGTGGAGCGTGGCCAGCGCTCTCTTCCTCGCCACAGAGAACCCTTTCTACGCGTCGCACCCCACTTCATCTCTTTATTGCACAGTGAGCACACACAAAACACACCTATAATATCCGGTTCCACCTCTGGAGAGGGAGGAGGGGGCGGTAGCCTAAGAGTGAGGTGAAGCTGTGTGTGTGTCACGCACATGCATCAGCTCTGCATGTATAAGTGTGAGAGTGGGGAGATTAAAAGGAAATCGAAGCCTGTCAATGTGAGGACAGGCTGCTTTCAGCGCTGCGTCCCTCAGCATCAATTAGCAGGTTGTGCTGTGACTGGCTCCTGTTAGAGGTGAAGTGGGCCAGCTGAGGGAGGTAAACACACCTCGTCCCCAGGGCTCGCTGAAATCAGAGGGAGGGCAACAATGTGCCACTGCCTGGGCCACAGAAGCCTGCCTGTGCCTGGCCACTAACACGCTTTAGCAGTCATTTCCTACCTTCTCCTCCAATTTCCTTGCCCCAGTTCATGCACAGGGCTGACAGTGGATGGTTCACCTGGCTGCATAAGAAACCTTTTTTTTCCTGCTATGACTCTAACCTGTGTGTGTTTGAGGGAGCCTGTATTTCGGGTCACTTTAGCCAACTGATGAGAGGCTCAGGTTGCTCAGATACAACTACTACAAGTGAGATTAGCCAAAAACTCACCTATTCAGAACTGCATACCCCACTTAACTATCTACATTGTCTTTTCTTATCTGTTTCTTATTTCTTACTGTTTTTATTTTTTATGTGTTGTACGGTGTCCTCAAGTGCCCAGAGAGGCGCCTTTAAATAAAATGTATTATTATTATTATTATTATTATTATTATTATTATTAATAATGTAGCTTCAGAAAAACCTTGGCAAAGTGTGTCGGGAAAACAGCTGGTGCGCCTTTGGAAGCAGAGCAGTGTGCAGAATCGGGCAATTACATATGATTAACAGGAAAAATGGATTCCAGTGGGGCTGCACTATATGGCAAAAACATTTATATGCTATTACTTTGGCAACTGCAATATCAGTCATGATTAGTACGGGAATAGTAATTTTGCATCACAAATTTAATTTAATTTTCACTGAAGAAACTATTAAAATCAAGAAGATGTGAAATTTGTTGGGTTCTGTACCAAATAAACATGTTTTCTCACATCTGGAGAACAATATCTGTAGGCCAGGGCATCTCTGCAGCACTACACTACTTCATTATAATGCTGTTTATCACACATTGGACCTTTATCAATAACTTGCAGCTTCTGTGATTTGTTATATAGTTCTATTAATTGTGCAGCGCTATAAAAAAAACATTATTTTTCTTTAGAAAAGAAGAACACACTGTGATTTCTTAGTGATTGAACAAACTACTGTGCCGAGTACAAACTGCCAAAGCAGGCTCCTCACATGTTTCTTGCTGAAAAGTTTCGAGCCCAGTTTTTGTACTCATGTAATTAATCTTGTTAAGCCACACTTTTCTTCCAAAACAATGTAACAGCACAAACTGTGAGCTCATTTAGGATGGCCGACTTTAAAGGGAGAAGAAAAGACTTCTTGTAAACTGAAGAACAAAGAAGCGTGGCTCTCGTAACATTCGCTCTTAACATTATTCAAAATAAAAAAGCAGGGAAATGGAGAAAGAGAAAAACTGTGAGTACAATGGTATTTCTTTGTCTCTATATTTCAATCTTCCATTTAAGGCTCCAAATTTGAACGTCTCAGGCCAAGTTCTATCAACAGACCTTTACTAAAACAGACAAAATATAGTGTAACATCCTAAGTGCTAGACCAGTCGTGCTTTGACATGAATTTAGGTCAAGCTTTCTAACCCTCTTTAAGAGCCCTGTTGTACACTAGGTCCATTCAGGGTCCCAAGGTGTAAATTGAGATGTAAACAAACAGTTTACTGGGCCAGGTTTAAGCGCTGAAGCTATAGATCCCAGATTGACCTCTATTAAAAACAGCCGTCACCTCAGACGGAAGAGATTTAAAAAATAAACTTTTTAAAATCAGATCTACAAGGCAAATGCAGAAAAAACTCATTCAAACTTCGTCAACATATCAGAGCTGGATTAAGAGCATCTGGTAGAGCTTCAACAAGCAGTGACAGAAATTCCAATAAACCTCACAAAAGTATGTAGACGACAAACTCAGCCCAATGTCTAACAAACGCTATCACGATCACTGCTGTAAATGGGATCCGATCCATCCTTTGGAAAGGAAATTGGAAACACTGGGGAAGAGAACACAAAAGCTGGATGAACACATCTTGGAAGAAATAGGGAGAGGAAGTAATGTAGATGAAGGAGAAAGTCACAACATGGCTTACTAGTTGGTGAATGAGAAATCACCATCATCACAGCACTGACCATTTAGTACCACAGACAGACACCATACAAGGATCAACACTTTAAAATCCAATTAAAACCCAATAATGTTTACCAGACTCTGCACTCTAATGAGTTGTTGCAGTAGTTGACTACTCTGCATGTACTGTCAGTATTTTTTTAAGTTAACTTATTCCAAAAGTTAATGTGGAAATGTTTTGATTTGTTACATTTGTGCACACAGATTGTTTATATGAATGATCAAACCAACCCGGCCCACTCCTTAATGCCATCTCTAACAACCAAAACATGATATCTGTGTCTCTGGTTGAACACACCTACATTTCAAAAGGGCGGCCTAATTTGTTCTTCGTATCATAATGAATCTGTGCACACGTCTCACCTCACCCTACCACTTCCATGCACACATGAAAACAAACACACAGGGGGTTGATGTGCAGCCTGTGGCTGTCTCAAGAGTGGAGTCATTAACTCGCCTAACAAACAGGTCTCTGTGCAGTCCCCAGCTCACCACCCCTCGCTCCACAGACACTGGCCTGTTTGAACCTCACTGTCTCACTTATCAGCTCACTGTTGACACCACCCAGGCCAGCAGCTGCTCCAACTGACTGCAACCTTTATCAGACTGGAACAGCTTTTACATTAAAAACTCTGCGGATACATGGTGAATTAAACCAGAGGAGCTTAAAGATTAGACATCGATAGGCGTATCATTTTCAGTGTTTTCCTGTAGCTTCCCAGAGGGCCAGGAAGAGTGCAAAAATTGGTTCAGTGGAGAAAAATTGCTGTTCAAGTGTTCTAAAATTAGTCTGCTGGCAAAGAGCGGTCACACTTGACATTAAGAGTGGCCCTGGTTGCAGCCAGTTGTTTTGATGGTCAGTCAGCACCATGGACAGAGACCCTGTCACCACTGCCTGACCTCTGGGGCCCCGTCCCACCACACAAACCCAGAGAAAACACTGGAAAAGGCTCAAAGGCTTGCCAGAGGCTCTTTTGTTGTTTGCGTTTAAAGCATGGGAAAAAAGACATCAGGCCGGTTTAACAGCAGAAACTGGTCAGAGGAGTCATATTGGAAGCTCAAAGGACTACCGGAGGCGGAATGAAAGTTTTTTTTTTTTTTTACCACCACAAGAAGAATATGCAAAGTCAGCAGTTTATCTCATGATCTGCAAGGAAGCTGCTCAGCATTATTTGTTGCATGATTAAGCCAATTCTTACATTGTTCCTCATTCTACTCATAAAACGAAAACAAGGGCTATTTACAGGGCTTTATATAGGCAGTAGTGCCTTATCTTACATGACAAGATATCAGCTTTCACAGTGAGCTCACAGCAGCTTGTCACAATGTGCTGAATCACATATTGTAGCACCATGTTAACCATGCACCACTGCAGTCTTTGTAAAGCAATACATGACATTGCAATAATAGCAGAAGCCCCTTTCTTGTGTGACAACAGCGTTTGGTCTCTTTAAATCTAAATATAACCGAGTCTAAAGCTGATACCTAAACCTCCTGGCTAATGCTGCGTTCACTGCTCCTCCAGGGCTCCGAGCGACCGCGGTCTAGATATCAACAAGACTCGTGACAGTGTTAAAGTAGTAAATGCAGACCTAATATGTCGACAATGTTTGAAAGTTGCTGCTTTTTGTCGTGAGTAATAGAGGGAAGTGACTGAATATGTAGCACAGTTTAGTAAGCTAACGTTAGGTGTCAATATTTGACATCAGCTAGCACTGTAGTCACTAATTAGCTAAACGTTTATGTAGACTAGGCCTATAAGCCACCGCTGGTTGAGCATCTCCACCCCGTAAAAGTTAGGCAAACCGCTTTTATTATGATATTACACAACACCACCATCTTCCCTCGGTTATATTGACAGTTGAGGCTGGCCGTTGAAGTTCTATTAAGAATTGTAATATTTCCTACGGCCCCTGAAGGCAGCAGCTAGCTTGCCAGCCTTGTCGCTCCTGGAAACAAGCTGAAAACTCACACAACTGTGTCTGCACACTTACCTTGTTCAGCTGGGGGTTCCGGGTAACATCGTAGCCCCTCTTCTTGGTGTAAACGAACATTTTTCTTTTGTCTTCTGACTTGTGCATCTCCGTTTCCACCGACTCCCGTTTGACCAGACCGTGTGCCATGTTGTTGCCTCTTAAATAGAGCGACGGTGAACTACTATGAACTCAACAAGTGGATGCGCAGGTCCGACCGCTGAGCTCTGGTCTGCTGGTGTGGTCTCTGTTTAAGAACAGTCGGAGTGTCCTTATCAATGAGCCTCTTATATTGTTTCCAATAACTCCCTGAAGGTCTTCACGTGTGCAAAGTCCCTCTGTGTTGTCTCACCTGGCAGCAGGTGTATATGGAACACAGAGATGTGAAACTAATACCCTTTTCCCCCTTTATACCTTCATTGTTCCATTAAATGAGGAGTGATTATTTATTTAAAACAACATGGTTTCAAACAATATTGTAGCTGGGGTTTTTATTGGATTAACTCATTGAGGCTGTACTGTAAACAATAAGTAAAATATTGATATATATTATTTATGCATTCAGTCATTCATTTAATTACCTGGGACAATGCACATCAATCAACATTGCGGTTTACACTATTACACTTTTCAACCTTAGCCCCTGGGCGGGTTATAATAAATTAGTGCCCAATACCATTAGTACAGTGATTCAACAAGTACTACGAGAACAATGCAAAATAATACATAGAGACATGACAAAAGTGATTGAGTGAGTGAGATTATATAAAGGCAGTGTCAGAGATGAGGTGGTAAGATTACTAATGGCTGTAAGTTTGGTCTGCCCTAAGCCATTTCTTAAGTTTATGTTTCAAAGTTAGGTAATTAGTGCACTAATTAGTTCAGTAGGTAGACTATTCTAGTAGCAAACAGTGTTCTCTCACTGAGAACACTGTTTGCCAAAACTTGCAACGTCTGTATTGTACAACACAGTCCCCTTGTTGCCCCACCACTGATATACTTCTGCTTTATGAACTGGCTCCATAAGGGAGGGGAAAGCCCATGTAAGACCTTAAAGATGAGGCAAGCTTCTGCAAAATGTTTAAGAATAACCAAAATAAATAAATTGTACTTTTACATTATATGACAATGGTGATAAATATTGACTTTTGTAGTGTTTTCTAGTGTTTTTAGTGTCTGTTTGAAAAGGGTTTGTGAGTTTTTGTGCTTGCTTGGGAACAGAAACAATATGTTACATGGGAAAAGGTCATAGCATGGATAAGGAGGTTGCCTGCCTCTGTTGTTAGGTATGGTCTTATATGCCTGAAATTAGCCAGATAAAATTTTATGGTATTGGTTACTTTTTTTTTCCATGTTAATGTTTACACGTGAAAGTGTGTAAACTCATGTTTAACTATCACACTCATGTGTAAACATGAGTTGCTTAACCAGTCAGACACATGGGCCATGGCTGCAGTTAATTTGTTTGCAGCGTGTTATTTGTTTTTAGCATTTGCATAAAGAACTGTGTCATCGGCAAATATTTGCATGTTGACGGATGGACAAGCTAAGGGCGGGTCATTGAACTACAAGCTGTACAAAATTAGGTTCAGTATAGATCCTTTGTGGTATGTGTATTGACCAGGCTACAGGTTTATTATTGTGAAAATGTCTATTATATCAATGCAAAATCCAATAAATGAAACCTTACCAGACCATGGCCTCCCTTAAAATTAGTCATGCTATTAATTTTAACAGGGTTTGGCATAGTTAATAAAAATGAATGTACAGTATATGTAAAGCTAAACTAAATTTTAATGACCATACATACCATTATCTTTACAAACAACATATTTGATTATTATTTTCAAGGACCAGTGTGTAGGATTTAGTAGCATCTAGTGGGGAAGTTGCAGATTTCAACTAACTGAATACTGCTCGTGTCTGGTTTGTCCTTTCTGGGCTACTGTTGAAAAGTGGCGATTCATGGTGTAAATAAAAAGGGCTCATTCTAAGGTAACAAAAACATAACAGTTCATATTTTCTGGTACTAAACTAATGAAAACATACATATGAATATTATATTTAATTTCTGCAAGTACATCCTTCTAAAGGTAACACAGTGGACCTTTAACCAGAACTAAATTATTGATAGCAGAAGGAAACAAGAGGAAGAAGTAGTAGTCTACAGAAACTGTGTTGCAAACAACAATATGCCCAGGAGTGAGAGTACATTCGTTAGGTCTAAAATAAACAGTTCCATATATGATATAGATTATCCCCCAGTTTTTGATGAGTCACGACATTTGTTTGAAACACGTAACTGAGATCATTTTACGACATGGTGCGTCTGAGGGCTGGGACAGGAATGACTGATATTTGAAGCCAAGGTCAACCTTCAGCCTTCACACTGTTTCAGCAGAAGAGTTATGCAACATTAGGCAGAGTTTGACAGTCAGAAATACCCTAGCACTCTGGGAGTGGGAGAAAGGTTATTCAACCCTCAGTCCATATACCGCATGTTGATGAGGTGACTGCTCCAAATTCACTACACTCTGCCCCGAAATCAGCTGATTTGTCAGAATAATTAGTTCAGCACAGTTAGGGATTTGCATATTATTGTCCCTGCAGAATCACAGGCATCTACAGGGACCTGCTAGTAACAATACTTCAATTTACATATTATTTTTGAATTTATTCCTGCCTGTCTTCCTCTCCAAGGATTCACTGACAGTGGGAATCTAAGAGATAAAGGGAGGTTGAACCCTGAGTGAACACATCTGAAGCTTAGTTTATATCAAGGTTGAACTCGTGCCAAGCGTGTAAAGATAGTCGGACTGATAATATCATCTCAAGTGTGTCTGCAAAACATAAAGGATAACAGAAAGTAAACTGGCCCCTGACGTCAGTTTAACTGTACAGAATATGTCTGAACTTGCTGCATTCAGACATCACGTCCTGCCATAAATCAGACAACATTGTGGCTGTATTTCAGTTTGGTCTTGTCACACTACTATTAGTGCAAAGATTGATGTCTCTGTTTATTTTCTGATAGACTTATCCATGCACTGTTGAACATGTCAAATATCTTGATGTTTCTGCAGCTTGTGGAAAACTTCTCCTCTCAAACTTCATTGCAGCTGCACTGAAAATACAGCATTATCTACAGTTCAAGACATCTGTGCACCTGTCTGCACGAGTAAGAAACATAGGCAGCCAATACAGTATCAACAGGCGTTTGAGGTTCACATGGGGTCACATGGGGTCTGTGTTGGTTCCCTCTGGCAACAGACTCGTTGGCAGACTACTTTGTCCTCATGGCTCAGTGTCAACATCAGACTGCTGCTGCTGCCAAATGGACAGACCCGCCTGAGTCTGTGGGATCAGCAGCTACTGACACAGTACCAAACACTGCATTGGCGGGGCGCAAGTGATAGGTCCCCCTTCTCAAAAATACCAACTTTTGTAGGATTTCAAGTTGGTGGCTTAAAATATATCATGCAAATCTGCAAATCATCATCATCCAGAAAATGTGCACTGTACCTACAAACTTCTCAGAAACTAAAAAATAATCTTGTTTTAAGCTTGGTGATTGATTTTTCAAGTAATCCAGTGTTTTTTCAAAGGTGTAAAGGAGGTTGGAGAAATTTTGCGACCTATGAAGGGTCTTTCAAATTTAATCTTACAATTCATCAACATAAAAGTTGCCAATCCTGAAAGCATATATTTGTCACGCTTGTAAAATGGAAAATGGTACCACTGGCTGAATAATGGAGGTCCAAAAGCAGCTGTGGGAATGTTGAGAGACTTAGACTAGAAGCAGCTGCATTGTGGAGGTCAGTGTTTGATATTGATCAATGTTTCCGGGCTGAAGTAGTTCCTTAGCAGAGCAAAACTGAGCCTCTCCTCATCACCTTGTTTATCAGGCTCTCAGTCTGTGTTTGAATGACTAATCTGGATGATGAACATCTGCCATCTGTGTCTGTATCAGGGGCTGGAAGTTATTTTTGAAGTTCAGGCAGGATGCCAGTTGGCAATGGGAGGGCACGAGGAATGCAGGCAGAGTTTAGGAAGCAGCATCAGCCCACCCATTGAAGGTGATCACAGTGCAGCAACAGTTCGATGCTGTCCACCTGGTGATAGAGAAGATTCAGATTCGAAAATGTTTTATCATCCAGCAGCAACAAATTGGCTTTACTGCCCACAGATCATTTCTCAATAAAACAGTTTGTGATGTGTTCGGACCTTGTATTCAGAATCTGTTGAGTAGCTATCACTGCCCAGTTCTTCTTCTGTTCATTTCAATTGCTGCAACTGGTGCTGGAAATATAATGACTTCCTGTGCCCCAGGACAGAGCTACTACAACAGGTGTTAAGAAAACCAAGTGTATATTAAAGGCTTTCATGAACCAGGTATAGGCCCCATTTTACAAAATACAACACTAAAGGAAAATCAAAAGAAAAATCCCCCCCAGGAGATGTGCCAGCACAAGCCTTTGTATGATCATGTCTACCCCTACACTTTACCTCAGAGTCCCCTCAGCTAACAGATCTACAAAGCTGACCTGGATTACAACAGATGACTCTCCTGACAGTTTGGCAAAGAAAAGAGAAAGAGACTGATATAAAAACAAGCATGTTAGGATGCTAATGTATGCAAACTGGCACTAAACCAACAGGGAATGTCGTTCTGTAGTTCTGCAGGAATTTGGCCATGAATCAAAGTACTGGATAAACTGATGGAATGGAATGAATATGAAATTTGATGATAAACCATCCAACAATTAAACCATTTCCCTCAAAAGAGAAAAGGTCAGGGGGTCACCAAAGCCATTATGACTCATCCTGAGTTGACCATGAATATCTGACGAAAATGTCATGGTAATCCATTCAACATTTGGTTGATATTTTATCCTGGAAAAAAAGTGGTGGACAAATTACAGCAAGATCAAACGATTTTAAAAGATTGGAAGTCGCTGCCTGGCAGTGATAAGTCGTAAACTGCACTTTGAGTAATGATGAAAGCTCTTAATAGTAAAAAGTAATTATACATTTACTCGAGTACTGTACTTTACCCTTCTTTATACTTCTACTCCGCTGCAATAAGCTATGATGATATAAGGGTTAACATATTCACTGTTGATGTTTGAAAAAAATTAAGATCTGAGTGCTTCTTCCACCACTGGACACTATCTTGGTTTTCAGCAGATGAATGGCAAACAGTCACAAGGCCACGATTTGAAAGAGTGACAAGGATCACTGTCAAGCTGACCTAGAGCAACCTGTAGATAATGAAAGAGCATAAATCTTATTACAATTACTGGTGATGTAATGACATAAAAGAAAAGGCCCTCCAGTCAAACCTTGATGTAATATTAA